AAGTTGGCCATACTGAACGAGGTCTCAGAGCCAAGTCCCCCAATGACACCTACGAGGTTCTTCTGAATGTCACACTCATAGTTGGGGACAATCCTATGCATTTTGAAGAGGAGATCCAGAGTAGTCCTGTATGTCATCCTCGCATTAGAATAGCTATCGTAGATGTGGAAGCCAAGGGTGACATTGGGCAAGATCCTAGGGTTCTGGTTGATCTCATGGATGGCAAATGCCAAGGCTAGGATGTGCTGGTAAAACTTCATCACCACACTGCAAACAGAGTTAATTTGTTTATTTCACAAGAGAATTCTACAGCAGTTGAAGTTGCAAATCCATAGTTCTAAATTTTTTTTCTGTGTTTCACAGTAATTTACAGAGAGATTCTCTGCTCTTCTTACTTTGCGAGAGCAGGAATCACTTAGAACAGTGGCCAGAACAGCTGGTGGTGAAGCCTTCAGGGAAGTTGAGTTCAAGAATATCTGTGGATCCAAGATAGGGAACCACTGGCTTAGAGGATGAAGACGTACCATCACCAGTATAATATTTTCCCTTTCGTAAACCTATTGGTAATCTCAAGAAGAGCAGTTCAGTTAACTCCTCAACCAAGGAGATAACTGAATCAGGCAGCACAGAGAATGTTATTGGTTCAATAGTACTACTCCATTCAGGAATACCAATAGGATTTGGGCAATTGTTTTGTTTAGAAGAATAACCTATGACACCAACTGCCCCAATTTTTTCCCAAGAATGTATCCACCCACCAACATTTCCACACCACAATACAGCCTTTATAGGCAACATGTAGGGAGGAAGAAAGATAATTCCTTACATTGTAATGTCAAAGGGATTCTGAGAAGGATGTTTTTTGAATGGAATGTCACGGGAAATATGAAAGGTCTGTGAAGTGATCCCACCAATATGGAGATGGCCCGGCTGGTACCACTCATGTGGTACAGAGAGGGGAACATCTCCAGAACAATGCCTGCCACCTACTTGGAAAGTACATGTAAGGGGAGGCAGCAGAAGCAACAGCATCAGCAAACACACCATCCTGGGATCAAAATTGTTGTTCTTCACAACTCCTGTTGGACCCATGCACAAAAACTATTCTAACCTCTGCTGCATTCAGTGGGGAGAGCTTTGTCCTGAAACACCTCATAAGGAGGAATTCGTCAACTTTGGACACAGATGCAAAAGCCTCCATTTCCAGCTTATATAACCAATGTTCCAGGTCAACACTGGGCTAAAATGAATGAATGAATGAATGAAATGCACCTAACTCTTAGAGAATTCACCGACAGAGCTAAGCCTCTCTCTTCCCCCTAGACTCTGCTCTCCACAGCCTGTGAGACTATTTATAACCACTTTCAGGCTGGCTGGCTTGCCACTGTTTACTAATATCTTCTGGGAAGCCGCTAAGCCCTTTACCAGATGGGGGGGAAACTGTTATGATTTGGATAATTACAGGGGGAGATAATTGCTTCTTGAATGCTTAGGCTCAAAGCAGTACTTTTAGTAGCAAACAAGTTTCTTACTTCTTTTTCTGAGTAAAAAAGAGTAAAATCACAAATAGGGTAACTTTCTCTGACCTGAGGGCTGAACTGGCTATAAATAAAAATTGATTGGTCTGTGTATGTTGTTGTTTAGTCATGTCCGACTCTTCCTGACCCCATGGACAAGAGCACACCAGGCCCTCCTGTCTTCCACTGCCTCCCAGAGTTCGGTCAAATTCATGTTGGTTGCTTCGGTGACCCTGTCTGACCATCTCATCCTCTGTTGTCCCCTTCTCCTCTTGCCCTCACACTTTCCCAACATCAGGGTCTTTTCCAGGGAGTCTCCTCTTCTCATGAGATGGCCAAAGTATTGGAGCCTCAGCTTCAGGATCTGTCCTTCCAGTGAGCACTCAGGGTTGATTTTCTTCAGAACGGATAGGTTTGTTCTCATTGCAGTCCAGGGGACGCTCAAGAGTCTGAGTATAGCCAAGGCCTAAACGGATGGACCCATACCACTGGTGGAATGCCATTTCAGAGTTCTTGTCCAAAGCTAATTCACACATAGAGAGAAGTGCAACACCCATTCACCCACCCACAGTTGTGTACCAGATCTTTCAGAGTTTAGGTTTCCCAGGTCAGTTCACATTAACTGGTCACACAGGAAGAGATGAGGAAAGCCTTGTTTGCAGCTTTTACTGTACACACCATCCTGGGATCAAAATTGTTGTTCTTCACAACTCCTGTTGGACTCATGGACAAAAACTATCGTAACCTCTGCTGTATTCAGTGGGGAGAGCTTTGTCCTGGAACACCTCATAACGAGGAATTCGTCAACGTTGGACACAGCTGCAAAAGCCTCCATTTCCAGCTTATATGACCAATGTTCCAGTTCAACGCTGGGCTAAAATGAATGAATGAATGAATGAATGAATGAATGAATGAATGAATGAATGAATGAAATGCACCTAACTCTTAGAGAATTCACCGACAGAGCTAAGCCTCTCTCTTCCCCCTAGACTCTGCTCTCCACAGCCTGTGAGACTATTTATAACCACTTTCAGGCTGGCTGGCTTGCCACTGTTTACTAATATCTTCTGGGAAGCCGCTAAGCCCTTTACCAGATGGGGGGGAAACTGTTATGATTTGGATAATTACAGGGGGAGATAATTGCTTCTTGAATGCTTAGGCTCAAAGCAGTACTTTTAGTAGCAAGCAAGTTTCTTACTTCTTTTTCTGAGTAAAAAAGAGTAAAATCACAAATAGGGTAACTTTCTGTGACCTGAGGGCTGAACTGGCTATAAATAAAAATTGATTAGTCTGTGTATGTTGTTGTTTAGTCGTGTCTGACTCTTCGTGACCCCATGGACAAGAGCACGCCAGGCCTTCCTGTCTTCCACTGCCTCCCCGAGTTGGGTCAAATTCATGTTGGTCGCTTCGATGACCCTGTCCAACCATCTCGACCTCTGTCATCCCCTTCTCCTCCTGCCTTCACACTTTCCTAACATCGGGGTCTTTTCCAAGGAGTCTTCTCTTCTCATGAGATGGCCAAAGGATTGGAGCCTCAGCTTCAGGATCTGTCCTTCCAGTGAGCACTCAGGGTTGATTTTCTTCAGAACGGATAGGTTTGTTCTCATTGCAGTCCAGGGGACGCTCAAGAGTCTGAGTATAGCCAAGGCCTAAACGGATGGACCCATACCACTGGTGGAATGCCATTTCAGAGTTCTTGTCCAAAGCTAATTCACACATAGAGAGAAGTGCAACAACCATTCACCCCCCCACAGTTGTATACCAGATCTTTCAGAGTTTAGGTTTCCCAGGTCAGTTCACATTAACTGGTCACGCAGGAAGAGATTAGGAAAGCCTTGTTTGCAGCTTTCACTGTAGCTCTCTTGTGACCTAGCAGGTGGCCCAGCTTCAAAAGAGCTACTTACTAAACTGTAATAAAATGCAAACAAGGACAGAGTACTGATTTCCTCCTCTTTTCTTTTATCTCGGTCTCAATGTGTTTAAAAATAAAGAAAAACCTTGATCTTTGCCCCCTCCAGCTCACTCACTTTCCCTGATCAGTTCCGTTTAATATTTTGCTGTATGATATTATTTACAAAATAAGTCACTGCCGCCATCTGATGAGTGACTGAGCTGTAGTTCATAAATATTTTCAAAAATACATCATAAGATGAAACAATTTCTCTGTCTCTCTCTATCTTTAAACTGCCACAAAACTCAGATATGTTTCCTCCAACAACAATGGCTGACGCTCTGTAAAGACCTATCAAGCAACATTAGGTAGCATTTTTGTGTTAGAGGGTCTTAAATCTTTGACAGGATGTCATTCACAAAAGCTTTAAGAGTTGATGATGCTGATTGTGCAAAAGGGTCTCCCTGAGAGCAGCCTGGCATTAGTCCCTTGCCCCTTTAACCAACATTCAGACTATAAGATCCTCAGTGATTATTGCCTCCTGCCTCTATACTGAAGAGCAGGAAATGGTTTTACTTTATTGAACTTTTTTCATCTGTCTGTGTCAGCAAACTTATTTGAAACAACATCTTTCCTTCTTTCACAAAGCCCCAACTTTTTGATCAATGAGTCTCCTGCTTCATCTCAACACATCTGTTAATGCCTGCTTCACCATATCATTTTTCAAAGTGAAGATCACAGGGTTCAGAAAGGGGCAGACAATCGTGGTGAGAACAGCGGGCACTTTGTGAATGTCTAGAGTCTCTTTCTGGGAAGGTGTGACATAGATGAAGATGCTGATGCTGCAGGAGATGGCGATGATGGTCAGATGTGTGGCACAGGTGTTGAAGGCTTTTGCCCGGCCCAGTGTAGTAGAGATATGCATGACTGCCGAGATAATATACATATAGGAAATCAATGTTACGAGCAATGAGCAAAGGATGACCAAGGATGAGAGGACAAAGTCCATAAGCTCTATGAAACGGGTGTCACTGCATGACAAAACCAACAGAGGACCACTGTCACAAAAGAAGTGGTTGATAATGTTGGATTTGCAATATGATAGCCTGCTAGTCATGATGGTGGGAAAGAGGACAAAGAGGAACCCACCCACCCAGCAACCCAGCACCATCTGGATGCACACTTGGCTGTTCATGATGGCATGGTACTGCAGAGGCTTGCAGACGGCAGCATAGCGGTCATAGGACATGGAGGTCAACAGGAGGAACTCCACCGTGCCCAAGAAGAAATAGAAATAGCATTGGGTAATGCAACCTGCAAAGGAGATGGACCGGTCCTCAGAAAAAAGGTTCCACAGCAACTGTGGGCTGATGGCTGAGGTGAAGCAGATATCTAGCACGGAGAGGTTGCCAAGAAAGAAGTACATAGGAATGTGGAGACGCTTGTCCACAGACACAATGTAGAGGATGGTCATGTTACCCACCAAAGTTGCAACGTACAAAGCCAAAAAGAGGAAGGCGAGGAGAAGCTCTCCTTGGCGGCTGATGGAGAACCCCAACAGGATGAACTCAGAGACACTTTGGTTCTCCATCAGGCTCTTCCCAACGACTCTTCTCAACTTCACCTGAAGGAAGACAGAAAAGCTTGTTAACTATTAGGTGAATGATGCATTTAAAACCTAAAAGGCTTAAGATTACGAGAAATTCTGTGTCGGGTAAAATCTGCATTTATTTACTTGGCAATAGGTTCCGAATGGAAAGAGACAGGGAAAAGACTGAGAGATATCATTGCTTCAGAACTTCTAGATTTAGACTGCTTGAGGTCTCATTGCCAGTACAAGCACAGCTGATGGGGACACGGGAGAGGAGGGCCTTCTCAGTGGCAGCTCCCCGGCTATGGAACGCTCTTCCCTCAGGGAGATCAGGATGGCTCCTTCCCTGTTAATCCTTTCGAAAAAAAGGTAAAGACCCATCTCTTCAGGCAGGCTTTTAAAAATTACAACTGAATCCCTGATCCCTGTGATTTCAATAAATTGAGTTATTTTACAGAAGGTGCAGCCATTTGGTTTATGAAGGTGTATCTTATCTGTCAGACAGCAGGATCTAGAAAGGGAAGAATTCAGCCCACCCTTATCACCCCCCAAGAGATTTTTCAACATCCTGAGGTTTGAACCTGGCCTCTTAAGACTACAAAACATTGCTTACAACTAGAAAATAAGTTCAAAATAATCAAGGGTTTGCTATACATTCATACAATGTCTAGCCTGTAAGATGACTTACAGAAATTGTCTGCATGGGTTTTTGGGATCCAGACTAGAGATGGGGACGAATATAAAAATGGATTGGCTTTTTCAACGAAAATAGCCGATTTACTAAATATTTAACAATCCGTATTCGTCAAATTTTAAGTCCCGACGAATACGGATCGATAAATATTTTCCTGTTTTATTCATCCTTCGTAAAATTGTATTCATCGTTTGTAATTTTTTTAAAAAACCATTCTGCCTACCAGCCACTGATAAGCTGATCGGCAGGCTGATCGGCAGCCACCCACCCCCACAGCCTACCCCCACTCCCTTCCTCTCCCTACCTTATCTCCCCCGCTGACACCCCCTTACCGTAATTGCAGCTGCCGCCAAGGTCGGTGGGGTGGGGGCAGGTTTTTTTAAACAACCCCCCCATGAATTGACAAATAACTTCATTATTCATCGCTTCATTGGGGCAGCTTCATGAGTTGTCAACTTTTGACAACTCATGAAATGAGACAACTCCACAAAATGGTGAGTTGTCCCCATCTCTAATCCAGACACGGGGGGAGGGGGGGTATGGCAAGCCTCAGACATTTGCCTGCTCTTTTTTTTCCAATTAAATGCAAAAGATTGTGTACGATGTAGAACACACCGTTTGGGGGAAAATGCATATAAAGACATTTGAGTCGGAAAGGGATATATGCATTAAAAAGTTTGCAGTTGGAACACTCTGCTCCCAAAAGCGAGTTACTTACCCTGTAGGATGAAACTCAAATCTCACAACTTGATATGGACCTTGAATGGAATTAGAATGTTGCTGATGGGATTTTGAGAAAGACAAAGGAAATGAAACAAATGGAGTTTTCATGCTCCTACCATCACTTCTACTCATGAGATATGAGCACCTCCTACTGTCATCTTGAAGTTCCCCCTCCCAAACGCACTTCTTTAGGAGCTGTTTGTTCTTAGACATCTACCTCCATCTTGGAAAAGAAGGGGAAACGCTTGTGCAGAAGGTTTCAATGCCCCTCTTTACTCTGGTGCTTTTTGCCATTTCACACCTTGGTCTTTCTGTCACTCTAACCGCCTTCTGCTCCTCCTCCTCCTTTTCTTTCCTCTCTCTCTCCAAAGGTTGCGCAACACCATGGCTATTCTGCCTCTGGACCCATCTACTCTGAATGTTGTGTTGCATCCAAAGTCACTCTGAGGTTTCAGCTGGCAATTTGTTTCCTTCCTGCCCCTCCTCAACCCGTATTTTACTTTGGATGCTGAGCTGCAGCAATCTGAATTTTGTTCCTCATGACTTGATTAAAGCATTCTAGTTTTCTACTTAATATTCATGTGTTCAATTTTTTTATACAGAGTCATTCAATAATAGAGTTGGAAGAGGCCTATAAAATTATTGTTCCCAATGCCCTGCTCAGTGCAGGAATCCAAATCAAAGTAAAGTGATGCCTCGCAAGACAGAATTAATTCCTCAGTGCAGGAATCCAAATCAAAGTACATGCCTCGCAAGACAAAATTAATTTGTTTCACGAGTCGTGTTGTATTGCGAAAATGTCATCTTACGAAGTAGTCGTGTTGTATTGCGAAAATTTCATCTTACAAAGTGCGGTACTAACAATTGTGTGATTTAAAATAAACCAAAAGGGGGGGGGAATCGTCTTGCGAAGCACGGCCATAGAAAAATTGATCTTGTGTGTCACCAAAAAAAATCGCAAAACACTTTAGTCTTGCGAGTTTATCGTGTGAGGCATTCGTCTTGCGAGGCATCACTGTATATCTGACAGATCACTACCTAACTTTCTCTTGAAGGCCTCCAGTGTTGGAATCATCACCATCTCTAGAGATACTTGTTTCCATTGTCGTACTTCTCTAACACTTAGTGTTTCCTGATATTCAACTGAAATCTAGCTTCATGTAACTGCAGCCCATCATCATATATCCCATGCTTTGGAATGACTGAGAACAGATCCTGTCCTTCCTCATACATATTCTACTTAATCACCTATTTCTTCCCAATTATCCTCTTCTTGTCATCTTTGCACTCACCTATTATCCACGTGAGAATCATGATTCCACTTCTCCCTTAAAGATACCTTCCTTTTTGCCAGCCTGCTGTTAGTGGGATTGTGATTTTTGAATCCTCCACGATATTTTCAGCTACAGCTCAGCCAAAATTGATGTTTTAAGTAGACCAGTCATAGGACATTTGGTTTTGCCAAATAAGAGACTTATCTCAGATAGAGGCATTGGATGTTTGGTGGTTCAGAGTTTCTTGTCACACTCTGTGGAGAACACCTCAGTTGTGGTTCATTTCTGGAGAGATGCCGGTGTGAGGCAAAGGGCATTCCTAACTACATCTCTGAGGAAGAAAGTTTCTTTTTTTCCCCCCTTGAGAAACATGGAAGTTCAATCTGATGAGCTCCGGAGGGATGGTCCACCAAGAGAATATCTACAGCAATACTTCCAGCGAGTTCTAACCAACATGAAAACTCCTCAGTTGTGGCAAAACAATTTCTTGCCATTTCATTGCCAATGAGGTTTTTTTTAAAAAAATCAAATTTTTCTCTTCATGTGAAAGACAGGTGAGGATTTACATCTTTGTTAGCACCGTTTTCCTATTAGTTTGGCCAAGTTTTATGTATTCTGGCCAAATAGAAGCCTATGGAAATTAGCAAAAAAAATCAGGAATCTTCTACTTAAGAATCAAAAACATGGGCCAGTACATGGCCAGTTTGTCAAGGAACAGATCTTCAGACATGTGGTGTTTCTATGCCTCCTTCCAGTTCTCAAAAATTCGATCCACAGCTGCAGTTCTAATCAATTTAAGTTGTGTTTTTGAGCAGGAAAGCTCAGGAAGTAATTAGTTATAGATAAAATATTTATCTGTTTTTAGTTATTTGAAGGAACATATAATATGACTAATAGTTACAGGAATTGTTCAGGTTTTACCTGGAAATGCCAGGTATTTCAGCCACGGTCTTATTAATCCTAGGCAGCAATAAAAGCATTCTGGGTTTTTAATTTTGATAGCTCAGTGGTTTAGGTATATCACTGCAGAGCAAAGGTTGAGAGTTCAATTTCCCACTGGGCCTCCTGTGAGTAGAGCCAGCCTATGTAGCCTTGAGCAAGCTGCACCGTCCCAGTGCTCCCCCCAAAAAAGGGAATTGTAACCCACTTCTGAGTATTCTCTACTATGAAAACCCTGAAAAAGGTTGCCGTATGTCAGAATTGACTTGACAACGCATAATACTTATATTTCCAACGTGCTATATCGGCATTGCTGATATTGCAAAATTAATAACATAATGGGTTCCTTTTAGAATGTATCATTGCATGTTCCGGTGGGCAGGATTCCCAGATGTCAGACTTTTTTTCATCCTGTCTTTTGGGGGGGTGGCTATTATTCCCCCTTCTGTGTGCTTTCCCTGTTTGATTGATTTTTTTAAAAAAATTGTTATTTGGTTATTTTACTGTGCATTTATTCTGCTAAAGATGCATATTTTGGTAGGTGAGGGGGGACAATTTTGTTTGCTTTTGTTGGGGTTTGGGATGGTGGTGGACTTTATAACTATGCCAGTGTGTCATTGGGCTGTGTGAGTGGCTATTGTTGCTGGTTGGTTACAACTCTTGACATTTTTGTCTTATTCTTGGTTGTATTATTGTTAGTAGCTTTTGTGACTGGATGTCTCTATCTGCCAGGTAGAATGTACTTGCCCAGCTGTCTGCCTTCTTGCTTTTTTCTATTTTGCTGCCCAAATCTCCCAATCTCTGGCTCCACAGTCAGAGGCCTAAACCACAGATCTCATACACATACACGTAAGACCAAAGATCCTCATTCCAGGTTATTACATCTATCCATTCATTCATTTTGTTACATCTAGATTCCACCAGTTCACCATTAAAGTTGTTATGGTGTTGTAGATACAGTGTGGCACCAGGACTCAAAAGATTTGAGTTCAAATCCCCACATAATCTTGGGGGGGTTGGCAGTGGCAAACTTCTTCTTCAACGTCCCACATAATTGAAAACCTTGTGGGCATCATTATAGGCCAGAAGCAACTTTTGAATCCTATTGCCCATGAGAGAGAGAGAGAGAGAGAGAATGGATGGATGGATGGATGGATGGTAGCTTAAACCACAGATCTCATACACATACACGTAAGACCAAAGATCCTCATTCCAGGTTATTACATCTATCCATTCATTCATTTTGTTACATCTAGATTCCACCAGCTCACCATTAAAGTTATTATGGTGTTGTGAATAAAGTGCGGCACCAGGACTCAAAAGGTTTGAGTTCAAATCCCCACATAATCTTGGGGGTTGGCAGTGGTAAACTTCTTCTTCAACATCCCACATAATTG